TATCTAATAGTCCAAGTTAATTTAAATTTAGTTTTTTAAAAATATGTAGGTACCTATTTATAATTTGATTTTGGTTTTATACAAATGAAAAAATTAATGTTACCAAAAAATATTATTCAGAAATTGTGAATTTATTATCAATATGCACAATGTACTTACATAGGTAATATAAAATTAAAATTACTAATTCAATAATGTTGTGTAAAATAATTATTTCATATAAACCTTGGAGATATTTCTTTAATCTTACAAAGCTAGAAAATACTTATTGTTATGCATGTGTAATGTGTATGGAAATATATAGCATTTTAAACCACTTACAAATGATATTTTAAATTATATAATATTTTACATTTAACAAGTAAAATAAAATTGTATACAATAACTATAATAGATTTGAAATTTTAGAAACTAACATGTTGAAAGACAAAGGAATTATAGAACGGAAAACATGTATATTGCAGTTACTGTTATATATACATGAATCGGTTGTGTAAATGTTCAATGCAAATGTGGCCCAATCGTATGCAGATAGGACGAAGGAGCACATAATTAAGATACTATTTTAATTACTTTTCAACCCAACATATAGAGACGTTTGAATTTGAAATGATAATTATTAAGTATAGCAGTATATTATGTTTCCTGTAAAAGAGGTAAATTAAAATATAAAATTAATTTTAATATATTTACAATATTTTTTTTTATAGTCTTCTATAAAATATATTCTCCCTCATATTTAATATTTATATGGATAATAGATATGCTATATTTCTTATTGTATTTGATATGAATGTCTTAACAAAAAAAAAAACTATTTTAATTAAATCGTTATATAAGGTCATTCACGTTATAGTAGAACTAAAACTAAAACTTTATTTTTAAAATATGTTGTATACGTCATATGTGAACTAAAAGTTAATAGTTGAAAGTAGTTTGTAATAAGAAATAATAACAATGATTACATCAATCGAATTATATCATGATAACATTTTGCTACCATATATTACGACATAGTATTAATATATTTGTTATGCTATTATATCAATATATATTATTCTCTCGGGCTTCAACTCTCGCATAATCTCGTTCCAATATTGCAGATGTGGACAATTTATCTCAAGATGCAATTAAGCTTTAAACACAAATTTTTATTTCTTTACATTAAAAATAATAGTTTTTTTATATTATAACTATTGTTACAATAAAAATAATTAACGAATTGCAATACTATTACAAATATTTAATAGATAGGGTCACACTGTCACCCTTTCAATCATCGTTCGAAAATCTGTTAAGTATATAAATAAGTTAAGATAATAGTTCCAATTATTATAATATTTAGATAATGTATTAATGTGTAAGAAATATTTTTTTACAACTCATAGGTTTTAATTTTTAAATTAATCAAATAAAGGGGTTATTGACATTATTAATATTATATTAAGAATTAATTTGAAATTTGCAGTAGATATTTTTACCATTTTACTTCCATTACACGGACCTATTGACTTTGATTATGTTCTCATTTTATGTATAAGTTGAATGTACCCACTTCAATATTAGTTTTTTATTTGTTTAAATCATTTTCAAAAAAAAAAAATAAGTATGGTTGAATAAATATTTAGTGTTTCTTATTCATGACCATTCGTAGGTTCTACAGGGCCAATATTTTAAATAATTTATGATTATCAAATTTTAAACAGACTTCGTAAATACCAGCTATAGAGTAAAATAAAATGTGTCTACAATATGTATACTAAGGGTAGTCAATAAACTATTTCAACTCTTAGTTCTTTGAAAACATTAAATAAAAGATTAAAACAAAGTTGATAGTTACCACCAATAACAGTATTAGGTACAAAATATATTCAAAAAATAACTATTGATCGAGTAAGCAAATCGATTACTCGGAAAGCGCGAACCACTGTGGCTGCCAAAAAAATTTACAATCAACTTAACTATCTGCTCGTCTAACAAACTCTTTAAAAGAATGTATTTGGCAGCTACAGAGAAATCTGTTGATTTACTCACCACGTGCATTGCGCACGGGTACATATATATTCAGTTTATTGGATTGGTTATCTTTAATACATAGCAGTAAATAATCGAAGAGGGATTATTGCTTGTCATTCGAGTTTCCATGGATTTTTTTTTTTTTTTTGTGAAAAAGTATCTTTATTTAAAAAATCTATAGACATATTAGGTATTATAATGTAATGTTGCACGGAAAAAAAAATAAAAAAAATAACCCTCTATATTTGGTATATATAAATAGGTTTCTAATACACTCATTTTAAGGGAGGTGCCTATGGCTATACCTATAGGCATATATTGGTACCGTGACTAACGAATTTTGTTTTTAAAGTTTGATCGAAATATTTCTTCTATATTATTTGTATTACAGATCGATAAATATAGACACCAATATGGCTATATACTTATATAAAATGAAACGTAATTTAGTTAAAAACTATTTATAAATGTACATTTTACGATGACTGTACAGTTACAGTAGTTTAGTACTACAATATAAATCATAATACATCTATTATCTATACGACTATACTCGGTGGTGGCTATTGGCATTTACTATATGTGTATCAGTCGGTATACTTGAAATATAGGATAGTTGCCACTAGTGGCGTAGACAGGGGTTACCAATTGACATATTCCCCCCTAATAAATATATTGTTTATATATGGTTCAGGACTACTTGCATGTTTTATTGTAGTGGTAGTAGGTTATTTTAGATAAGTTATAAATTTATCTTATGAAATTTTTTTGTTTTATCAAACGATGTTTTTTTGCATATTATAGGATAAGTGTACATTTGAACGATTTTTCGCATATTTGTGCATATTTTGAATTTTTTTAACTTAAATGTAGGTACTTACATACAATTGTCGGGAAAAATCATATTTGGATAACATTGAAAATATCTTTAAAAATATTATGTTTGGTTAGGTACAATAGGAGCTAATTTTGAGATTTGGGAAAGCCGAAGCCTAAAATCATACTATTATAAAATTGAATAAGCTTAAAAAAATTTAGTAAATGTTTGGGAGGGCTGTTAAAGTTGTTGGTGTAGCTTGGTGGGCCCTATTTCGCATACTATGGTACGTAAGGGTTTTATAAGTCTCTTTGTGACAAGACTGTGTTAAAACTATAATTGACATTTAGATTCTAAATTGTACTAAGAATTGAAAATCAGTAGATAAGTGTTTGTTTATCACGGGGTTCGCATATCACGTTATTCGTTATTACTTATTAACCTAGTATTATATGCCAGTATTTTTAAAAATCAAGTTTTATTTCACAATAGTTTAAAAATGTCCAAAACATGCAATAGCTGTGTCCTCCGTCCATCATATTAATCAACATATAGGTACCTACCTATATTAAAATTTGTATGCCCATGTTTAAATTATTTTACCATGTTTATATACCTACTTATTTTTTAGTTTTTTATTACAAAAATTGTATTATGTTTTATGAATTTTTCAAAAATAATATAAAAATGTAGCTGTATATATTTAAGCATATTTTGAAAATTTTGACTGCATATTTCGATAATTTTTAGTGCAACAAGTCAAGTCCCGAACCCTAAATGTATTTATATACGAAAACTGTAAAAACTTGGTTTTAATCTATACTTAAACACCCCCTATTTCATAATTCTGGCTACTCCACTGGCTGCCACTGTCTAAACCAATATGTATTATAAATAATTATATTTAAGTATTTAACCATAAAAATTATTAACTACAGAGTGCGTACATGCCTTTTGTTAACATTGTGGCATGATTGAAATATTAAATATTAATTTTATAATGGCATTATTTTTTTACTTATATTATGCAATATATAAATATACAATATACATAAATCATCTAACAAAATTCAATGGACTTTTACTTCAAAATAAATTTTGTTTTTGAAACATAAAAACTCAATCGGATAACCAGGCAACTTTTCAAACAGAATTTGTGTTGACATAATATAATAATAAAATAATTGTAGGTATGCGTATATAATATTATTATGGTTTATGGTTTTTAGATTCTTCAAAGTTTCAATTAATTTTTTTTACATACACTTTTCAAATGCATAAATACATTTTTATAATACTTTCAGCTTTTTTTTTAAATTGAAGAAATATTTATAAAGCTAGTGTGAGGGAAGTGTAGGCCTCACTGTAAGCCTCACTGGGCCTCTCGCTCAGTGCTACGACAAAGGTCCTCGCGCTTTTTTTATGGGGCTTGTGAGTAGGGGGACGAATGTAAGTTAGTTAAAAAAATACATATGTTAGTTCTTACAAGGTTGAAAATTGCATAATATATTTTATAAATAAAAAGATGAATAGTATTTTGTCCACCGTATAGGAACTTGCATTACAATTTTTGTAAGAACTAACGTAAGTATTTGTTTACCTGTTACTCTCGTGTAGGAACTTACACCTGTAAATCATCACTCGCCAGAATTGATTAAACTGATAAATGATAATGAATAATGATTAATAAATAACAATACACCTACAATATTAAATTACAACAAAAATATTTGCATATAACTAACCTAGTAACTAGGTAATCATTTAAAAGGAACTCGTATAGAACGCTGGTCATTACTCACTAATAAGTACTAAGAAAAATATTCTGATTTATGATTTTTTTATTATTCAATACCTAAAATTGAAATCAGTGTCGGACTGGCTCGAAAAGGCCCAGTCCGCGATTTGGAAAAAAGGGCCCCTAAGGCCCTAATAGGCAAATGGCAAATGTTTTGATTAGCCCGGAAAAAAAGTTACACCACCTGTGACATTAAACATTATAAAGAAAAACACCGATTTAAATTGTGTCATATTTTCATATTTATTTTAATTACAACTTACAAATGTCAATAAGTACATCATTTTTATAATAATACATTTTTTTAAATTAATATTAAAGATATAAAAGGTAGGTAAAGCAAATTGGACAATACATATGAATAACATCTCAAATCAATAACCTTGATAGTTCAGTTGAACTTTTAGCAATAGTATTTACAACAATTTCCTTATCAACAACATAATCTCTTTCAATATTTATCATTAACAAAGCTTCCATAATATCTTGAGAAATTAATGATCTTAATTTAGTTTTAATGTTTTTAACTTTGGAAAATATACGTTCACATGTAACTTGTGTACATGGTAATGTCAAAACAAATTTATATGCCAAGTATATATTATTAAAAGAGCCTGATTGTTGAACAATTTCGTACAAAATATTAAAAGCGCATCTTAAACAATTATTACACGTATTGCATTCCAAACTGTGGTCAATATTTAGTTCTGATTCAGAGTTGGAGTCATTGTCAAAAGATAGATCATTTTTTGAAAATGTATCATTAAAATTTTTAGTTATTGTATCATATTGAATTGCAAATTGTTGGAGTTCAGATGTTAAAACATGTACACTTATTTTTGTCAATTCAGAAAGTTTTAATAGTGAGTTTTCAGGTAAACCACTTTTAATATTTTTAAAATTTTTAGGGTCTAAGCAAATACAATCTTTAAGTAATTCTGAATTGCTAACAAATCTTTTTTCCATACTATTAATCATAATATCAAGGATATAATTATATGTTTCAACTTTAAACCTTTTTTCTGTGGAAACGTCAGGTCTTTCATCAGATGCTAATTCACCAGGCATTTTATTTATTTTTGGCACTCTACTTACAGAATTCTTACTAAACTTATTTTTTATTCTAAAATCTATATCATTTAATTCTAATTCCTTATTAATTTTTGTTATAAAATTTTGAACATCAGAAATAAGTTTATTAAATATTTCATCGCCATTATATCTTTTTTCTTTAATTTGATTTAGTAAATTTGTTGTCATATTAAAAGCTATTAGATAATTTAATGAGCGTGATTGTAAAAACTTTGATACAGGAGAACTTATAGTAAAAATATCAAAGTAAATAGCTGCAGTTAAAATAATTTCAAATTTTGACCAATTTTGTAAAAGTGTATGAGCCGTGTATTTAGTTTTTGCATCAAATTTTGATTCACTAGAAGTTATTTCCAATAAAAAATGTAAGAATAACAAAAATCGGGAATCCTTGACATTAGGCTCGTTAAACTGAATTATAGAAGATAATGCCTTGTCCTTACTCCACCACCTAGTTGCTCCAATCAAGTTCAATTTTCTAAGTTTATCATGACTTTTATGGGTTTGTTTAGTTAAATCTGACCATACTTTCATTCTTTTATGAGAATCTAAAAGAAAAGTAGCTGATTGTTGAACTAACCCAAAGAGAAATTCAGCATTTTTGCAACATTCTGATGAATCTACCATAACTAAATTTAATACATGACCCAGGCAGTGAGTATACATGAAGGATTCGCATTTTTCTTTAAATGTGATTGCAAGCCATTATAAACACCTTTCATATTAGATGCCCCATCAAAAGAGCAACCTACAATTTTATTCATATCTAAATCTATTTCAGAAAATTCTTTTGCAATTAAATTATACAAACCAATTCCACTAGAATCATAAGCCACAACTAATTTTAAAAGTTTTTCATAAACATTGTTTTTTAAAACATACCTAACACAAATAGCCAGCTGATCTAATACTGCAACATCTTGTGTCGAGTCTACTAAAATACTAAAACTTTGGGCTTCTTTTAATTCATTTACTATTTTCTCTCGTAATAAATTACCAATAACTAAAACAATTTTATTTATAAATGTTTTTGATAGAAATGTTACTAAAGATCCTCTACCACGGGTCTGAGAAAGAGTATTATTATTTTTTTTACCTCCAGCTTTACGTTTTTTACTTAACTCAATACAATTTTTAACATGCATATTCAATACAACATCATAATCTTTAATAAGCAATACTAGTTCCAAAAAATTTCCATGATTAATAGTCCTATCCTCTAAGCTATAAGCTGCTTCATCTTTACCACGAAAAGCTAATCCTTGCCTACCAATAAACATTATTATATCAATAAGCCTTTTAATGACCAAACGGTTAAATTCTACTTCTTTGGAATGAATTTCCCTTAAATTAATATTAATACAACTCTCAATATTTTTGTTTAAGTTAGCTTGTAGTAAATCAGAAACTGCTTCACCGTGTGTTTTTGATTGTTCATGTTTTTTAACTGTACCATAAACATTTTTCGAATTTAAGACTTCTAATCCAGTTACTAAATTGCTAATATTTTCACGTCGTGGACAAAATGTCATACATGTAGTACAAAATATTCTTTTACTATAAGAACAATAAGATAACCATTTGCGCTGAACTTTTTGAGAATCACTTAAAGTCTGATAATACATTTTTTGAGGATCAAATGGAAGTTTATCATTACTTAAAACAAGAGGTTGAATGGGATGACTTTTTAAAAAAGCTAATTTGATTTCTACTGATTCATTACTAGTGGGTCTAATAAAAAATGCTAAGCTACTAGAAGTTAATGTAGATTCAGCTGATATTGAATTTGGCTCCATATCAGAAATACATTCAGTTTCACCTAATAATTGAAAGCACACATTATTAGATTTTATATTAGAATATTTTATAGATTCAAAAATTAAATTTTAATTATAAATTACTTGTGGTAATAGTAGAAGTAGCTAATTTTGAAATTGGGTTCATATCAATGGACAGTGTCGACAATGGTTCAGTAGAAACCATACTTTCGGTTGTATCTTATAAATTAAAACACACATTATTAGAATATTTTATAAATTCAAAAAAATAAATTTTAAATATAAATTACTTGTGGTAATAGTAGAAGTAGCTAATTTTGAAATTGGATTCATATCAATGGACTGTGATTCAGTAGAAACCATACTTTCGGTTGTATCTTATAATTGAAAACACACTTTATTAGATTTTATATTAGAATATTTTATAAATTCAAAAAATTAAATTTTAAATATAAATTACTTGTAGTAATAGTAGAAGTAGCTAATTTTGAAATTGGGTTCATATCAATGGATAGTGATTCAGTAGAAACTGTACTTTCAATTGTATCTTAAAATTGTAAGCACACATATATAGGTTTAATATTTATATAATACTTTATAGATTCAAAAAAGAAACTTTAAAATTTATATTTCTTCATTCTTGTATAGTGATATTATGGATAGTGACTATTAATATATTAGTCTTATATTTTTAACTACCTAGTTATATTAGAAAATAAAATAAAATATTCTTACCTTTCACACTTGAGGAAAAACTAAGTTTTTTTTGACTTTTGTCATAGGCACATTTAAGCAATTTCTGCTTTTCTTTTTCCTTTCTTTTTTCTGAACCATCTTTGTATTTTCTTTTATACATCACGAATTACAGTTAAAATAATAATAGTTAATAGATACAACTTTACAAGACGTCACGAAGAAGTAATAATCTCAACAGACAATGTAGCATTAAAAACTTTTAATTTAGTTTAAATACCATGAGCCCATGAGCACAAATAAACATATTCAAAACAAAATAAATGAACAATGAACGTTGTTGAACAATAAATTATTTTCGTAATTTGTATCATTGATTATTTGATTATAATATTAATAATTATTTATCATAGATTAGAATTCTGAATTTAGAACGGCTTGTTTATAAAAACATATTATTGGCTTTACAAACTATTTATAACCCTGCGGGCTGCGGCCTTCATGTGCCCGAGTACAATTCTTATCCAAAATAGAATAATTCAGTTACAATCAGTGATTACCAAGTCATACGCCCGTATAAATATAATATAATATTATTTAATAATCTCAACAATTTTACACTATTTATAACCAATAATACTTGTTTGTATGTATATAGTCATATAGACGGCTATTAAATTCGTAGAATGATAATTTTTATTATTTTTATAATTAATTAACATCTCAAAATTGTAAGCAAAAATACATTTCCAGATTTGAAAAAAAGAAAAATGTTTATTTTGTATTTCTATTTACTCTACGAATTAACGAGTAATAAAAATATTAGTAGGTACAAAACCAGGGGGCCCCAATTACCATAATATTAAGCCCGGGCCCCGTCCGCAATTGCGGACTAGCGGTCCGGGCCAGTCCGACTCTGATTGAAATATATTATAACTAAAGACTAAAATATTAAATAAAGTACGTATACTGAATAATTGTGTGATAACATCTTATGCATCTTGTACACTTTAAGGTATTAAAGAAATTAATTTTTAATTCTTACAAGAATATGAAAGGAAGATTATAATAAGAATATACAATAATAATAACAAGTTAAATTTAATAATTAATAATAAATACAAATTTGATAAATAATCGAAACATCTAAAAAAAAGTAGATCGCAGTCGGTAGGATTCGAACCTACGCTCCCAGAGGGAATCTGATTTCTAGTCAGACGCCTTAACCGCTCGGCCACGACTGCCCTGTGTTGGAGACTTGAAAAATACCATGAATTAAATAACTGTATCGATATCAATCATAAAGAGTTTAATTATAAATATATACCGAAAAAGTGTTAAGTAAATACTTATTAACTAGTCCTTCTGTTTAAAATTTATAATTCTGTAATACAATTTTAATATTAAATATCCACTCATACTGAAGACTTAAAAATGTTAAGTCTTTCATAAGTAATTCTATATCAATTTAAAAATATCGAAAATATGTGTGCAGTTTTATTTGTCCATCTACTAACTAGGTACTTTACTTAAAATCATTTATCGTATACAATAAATTATAAATAATAATTTATTGAGTTTATTGAATTGATTAAATTAAACTTGGTACTATTCATCAAAAGCAAGCTCTCCATTTATTTTATAATTAATTTTTAAAATAATGGCAGATGGCTGCTGTTCACGCAAGCAGCTCATGGAAAATGAAGAATTGTTTTTTTTTCAGTCACATTATTTTCCACTTTTACTAAGAAAATATTTCATTTATAAAGTAGATACTACACCACTTTTACTAAGAAAATATACATATAGTAGGTACTTTATATTAAGTATTTTCTCATTATATTTTCTATAGACATTTTGGACAATATTTATAAAAGCAAATATTGCAATTATTTTTCATTTGTTTTTAAGGGCTAATTTAAATACAATTTTGAGTAATCTAAGACGCTATAATCCACTTCCCACCGATTTTCAACAATGTACATAGATGAAATATTTGCAGTCTATTATTTTCAACAGTATATTTTTTAATCTATTTTGAACTTTAGTATATACACAGTGGTGGAAACGAGGAGGGAGGGTGAAGGGGCGTTCGCCCCCCCTTGGACTGTCTTTTTAAAGTTATTTTCTATTACAATATTTGGCTAAACAAAAAAACAATTTTATTTTTGAAAATTAGCCCCCCCCTTGTATGACATCTAGATCCGCTACTGTATAGTGTATATACATGATGGTGTTTTTACTTAGATGTTGTAGTGTTGTGTACTCAGATCTGTATTTATAATTTCTGTGATTGTTTTTATATATTTTAGCATATTATTGGTGCTTATAAAATTAAACCTTATAATTAAATTCCCACATGAATGACAAATTCGGGAATCAATAGTTATTGTAGTTTTAAGTTCTTATATCCCCTATGATAGTAAAATCTATGAACCCACTAATAACCTACTATACAGCGGAGCGAGTTACCCGCTTTTTCTAGTTTAAAAGCTATTCAAATGGTACCTAACAAATTAACATAATATTATTAGTTCTATTGTATTTAAGTATTTTAAGTAGATAAAAACGTAGATAGGTGGGTACTAGATATTAATATATAGGTAACCTATAGTACATTATTAAGTAGTGCATAATGCACATAAAATGTATAAGAGTTTGATATATTTAAATATCAACACGGCTTTCTATATTTTTGTATACTTGATAATATATATATGATATATATTCATATGTATTTTAAATTGTAAATAATTATGCGTTTACCCGGGCATGACAGATACCTACGGTTGCTCAATCAAAAATTTAGCCAAACCCAACACACACGTGCCCCCCCCCACCCTGCCGACATTAAAACGTAAACCAATACAGCTAATGGTCATAGATGCCGGGCTTAAGATCAAAAAAAAAAAAAAAAATTATGCGTTTTGATAGGTAGATAAGTATTTATAAATTATCATAATCATTTATATTCCTTTATTTATAAATAATAATCATCTGTAATTAAATTATTTGGAATACGATAAGATAGGTAAGACTATATATTATAGTCTTTAAATTAAATGGATGCCATAGTCATATTTTATAATTTTTATAAACAAACATTTTGTACTACGATGTAATATATTATTTTCCTATAAGAAGTCATATTATAAT